TATTGTACTAGTGTGTTAGCATTTTTGAGCTCGACTTGGGTGTTTTCGATCTAAGATGTTTACATGAGAGTTGACACTTACCACTCACAATGGAAAAACCGACGTATGTAGAAATTTTTTCATGGCTGGCTGCCGGCTGGGGCAAACCTTACCATAATAACCTTGCGCACGAAATACTAAGGGGAAGTTTTTATTCCAGCTAGCATATGAATGATTATCCTGCCATTTGTATAAAGACTCGATTCCGATTTATCCTTGTATGGGCGTCAGGCGACGCAATCTGGTTGTGGTCGATCGGATCTCTTGTGTCCAGATTCTGTAATTGTACCCTGTACAATTACATTATACGTTGTATAATGTACAGAGTAATACAGTGCGCGGGGCGTCCTGAGTGGACAGTAGCCCCAGCAGACAGCAAGTCACACATTTAGGTAATCATTTGGACTAAATTGCAGAGTCTAATCATCATAGTTGAGCGAATCATCGAACAAAAAAACATGCTGTTTACAGCACGCTATCCAAAGCAGTAACATGAATGCAATTTTAAGAGGCAACAATAACATTGCAACTGCCGTTTGGCTCACATATCCAGAGCCTTTAAAATGCTCACAAAAATGGGTGGATAGTGCCTCTTGACAAAATTTCATGAGTCAGCCTCATCCGATATGAGTAAAAGGCGTACCATACTTAATGAAGTAGTGTGAAACAATTTAAAGTTTTATGAGACTGTAAAGTCATATTTAAACCCAGGTATATTAATGATAATAAATCGTTTAGCGGACTGCGATAGCGATTGTTTTTTGAATCGCATTTCCCCTTTGAAGACCTGTCAATAAAGGTCGAAGTACAGGGAAAAATAGCTTCTTTACACCCAGAGTCAGTCCGCTAAACGATTTATTATCAATTTAAAGTTTGAAAATAGCCGAGTTTGACCGATAATTGACCGATGCCCTTGAAATAGACTGTCTATGATCGGATGGGTCGATCGCAATGGTGCCATCTCATTGGCTGTTAGGTTAGTGACGTAACAGAACCGTCGATATCGCGCGCCAGCACCAGTGTTTTGCGAGGCTGTCCGATGTCGTTCGCCTCCGCGCCCACCGCGTTTTAAGTGCTCGTCGTGTTCACCTGGCCCAATTTGTGCCGCTTCGTCGGCGGCACCGCCATCGCCCCAAACGGCGCTGACAACGAGCGCCCGTCACGCCAGCCACCCGCTGATCTGTCCCGTACCCTGTGTGATCCACAGCTGCTGAACAAGCGTGTGCAGAGCGCGCGCGTGCGGAACCTGCGCAGCGCCGGTCGCGCCAAGTCCAGGACCACCATGCGGTCGGATGACGAGCCGGTGAGAGACGATCAGAAGGTAACCGGTGCGCCGCAGTACTGGGATAGCCGGTACGGCGAGGCATGGAATGGGGAGGAATGATGGGAAGAGAAGTGTGTAAAAAGGAAAGGATGGAAAGAAGGGGGAGTGATGAATCTGCGTAGAGTAAGTGGCGGGCACTATGGCAACATCGAACACTCATCGTCTTGTGCTTCTTTAGGCACGAAGATCGTGCTTAATCATTTCACACTTTATACGTAATGACGTAAGACTGAAACCAAACGTTTCTGCTCCTTTAATTCCAACTCATTTCACTTTATTCATCATTGCAAAAGATCATTGCTAACATTTTTTGCTATCGGTGAATTGTTGAAAAGTGAAACTCTTGTGTAGAAAATTGGAAATCGTAAGGAAAACTCTTCACCGCCAATGACTATAATTGCTAATCACCACATGACGCCTGTCGTTGGACTTTTTCAGATCGAGGGCGGTGTGGAAGACCGCGAACAGAGCTCCGAAATGGTGGCATAAACCGCCCTCCACACAGACAATTGTATGGAGGGCTGCTCCACACCAAACGCGAGGGCTGCTGTCCACTCCGTCGCCGAAAACCATCAGGCGCTCCATTAGCGAAGAAGTACTCCGTACAGCATACGTACTGCTCCCGCACAAGCGATGAACTCATCCGTCGCTATGGCCAGACTGGGCCGCATCACTTCAGTGGCGTCGTTCAGGGTCGCGTGCAGTGCTGAACTGCTACTGAACTGACATCGAGACTGAGCAGCTTGCGTGACCTCCAGCGCTCCTCTGTCCAATGTAGTAATACTGGACACGGGACATCTGGACAAATCACACGAGGATGTGAGAATTTCGTGATTACAAGCAGTGAACGATAACGAACCTGCTGATCCTGGAAGCAGAACGGCCACTGAGATACTATGTGTACGGACATCGATGTGAAGATAATCTGCAGCAGCACAATCGGTATCCGCTGTTTGGTGGGACGACTGTTTGTTAGTAAGAATGTGGTTCCTTCCGTGGTTTATGCAGGGTTCATGTCTGTGGAGGTTTTGAGCACTGCTGTAAGGTGTGAGAAACACGGTGAAGCTATCAACATGATCGCTAATGGCGGGATTTGTATTATATTTTTTCTTCCCTCCCATGTCTTGCAATTTTGCGTAGCTGTTACAATCACTAACTAATGCAATATGCATCGATGCGCCTTTAAGCTTCCCCGGTATCGTCGCGGATGCTTAGCAAAACGGTGCATAGCGATAGCCCTAGAACATCAACAGGTTTAGCTGAAGAAGAGGGAGGAGCGCAGGCCTAAAACAATTAAACGCCAAACGGCGATGACACGTAGTAAACAAGGGCTTTCTGCAAGAGCCGGCTACACCAACTGAACTTTTGCAATTGATCACGTGTATACTAACATTGCACTCAGGATGCAGGTCATTGTTCATCGAATGTATATTTTCCAATACACTGGTTGGTCCATGATTGTTGACAATGACAGACATCATAGATGTTAGAAGGCGCGCGTAATGTCGACCTTCGTAGATGTTTGTTGAATTTTAGCATGAACATCTCAGATATCAACCATTTCCACACAAATGCTGAAACTCATTCTATTTCAGTCGTCTGGAATCAGAAGCGGGCGCCATTGGACGGCTGATCTGGTGATTGACGTGGCCGGCCAGTGTATATCCTCTATCGGACGCCCGTTGTATACACAGCTGGGAGGCCTGTGCCCGTCCAGCGTTCCCCGGAGGTCACGGAACCAGCCGGTCGGTGGCGCAACAGTTCCGCATTCGGCGCCGGTCGGAGCGCACGTGTCGTCTGTGCGTGGTGGTGGAGGCGTCTAAAGTGACATCAGGGCTCCGCCTTCCACCAGTGTGATACTTGACTTCTTCGACTCCGAGGACTGCATATTCAACCGCTGGTTCAGAACTACTTCAAACATGCGGAGGTTGTTAGTGATCTACTTGGCGGCTTTGCTTGACTGTAGTCGAGCGCGGCCATCGTCAGATTTTCTGTTTCCTGGCGAACTTCCTACTTCAATAAATCTGCCTGATGGGGTTCACGTGTCCCCGGTGAAGTTCCACATTCATCTGGAGTCGCAATCAAGGTTACGAGGAATGACCTTGGCTGAAATACAACCACCAGAAAATGATGCACACCCGGAAGGACACTCAAGAAGCGGATCAAGCGCACTGGTGTTTAGTTCATTTTCTGACGAAGCATCTGACCATTCAGAAGAAGAACAAGACGACCGTTCTCGAACAGAGACCCACAGTCCTGGCCGTGACCTAGTGGAAGCATCTAGACCTGATCATGGTGATCGGTCGTCAGCTCACAAGACTCAGTGGCATGAAGAGACACTTCTTGACGTGCCCAATGCCGACAGAACTGTTGAACCAGGCCTTGCACATGTTGTCCCGTCGGATCGCCATAGGCATTCAGACAGTCTCCTGCCCACCCACCCAGCGAGCCTTGCAGCGGGAGTGGCTGTCCGGACGGGGGCGGGTCGGGCTCTCACCGCCGGCAGTGTCATCTTCCCCGACTCGTTCGGCGTGGACACCAGAGCGGTGCAGCCGCTGCCCTCCTGTGACGGGAGGACGGTGTCTGCCACCGACCCCGTGACCGGTCGGTGTCGGATGCTGGCGCTGGCCGGGGACTGCCCCGACGGACACCTGTTCCTGCTCTCGCCGGAGGGCACAGACGCCGGCTGTCGGCCGCTGCCCTGTCCCGAGGACCAGCTGATGGTCGGCGACGCGTGTCTGTCCGCGGAGGACCCCACCGCCTGTCCGCCCGGCAGGGTTCTTGTGCGGGACGAGCGCGGCCGGGGCCGGTGCGACTGTGGCGCGGGCCGGGTGCTCTGGCCGGCGGACGGCCGCTGTTACCCGGCGCTCAGCCAGGGGCCGTGCCCGGTGGGCCAGTACCTGACGGCGCCGCTGGACGAGTCCCGGCCGCGCTGCGCCGACAACCCGTGCGTGCTGGACGGCAGCTGGCTGCTGCTGCAGCCGCCGGCCGTCGGCTGCTTCCAGCTGCTCAGCCCCGCGGACGGCTGCGAGTCGCAGCAGATGCTGACGCTCCGCGACGGACAGCTGGTCTGCGACCCGGGCTCGCTCACACTGCGGAGCATCTTCGACCTGCCCAGTGTCCGGTGCGGCGAGAACGAACTGATGGATTACGGCGGCCGGTGCAGGGACCCGCTCAGGCACGGGTTCAGACAATAGTGGCGTCCGCATATCGGATTGCGGTGCGAACCACATGTAGTACCTGCTTCGTGGAGTGCGGTGATGTGTTTGCGGTGCAAGGATCAGATGAGAATCGATACACTGCATGATGATATGAACTGTAAAATGTACGCTGATCTTTACAAAATTCTCTGCCACGCAAGCTGACATGAACTAAGGTATCTGTTTTGCCTCCCCGTCTCTAGCCGGCAACATTCTCAATGCCCCTGGGAAGTCCAACGTAGAAGGCATGCCGGGGAAGTATCGCCACAGCTCATCTTATAAAAATAATTCATCACTTTACTGTGCGATCAGTCGAAGAGCCTGCCTACAGTCCGCAGACCTCTCTAGGATTAACCACACAGGCTTAAAAATACACGCAAGCTGTAGGCATAATGTATATGACCGAGACTGGGAAAAATCCTATGGCTAAGAAAGCATCTTTATTCTTAATCTTTTCGTTTATTATTTTCCACCAAGTGGAGGCGTTAAATATGGTATGATCAGATTACACGAACCGCTCGGCGCTGATGATGAAGTGAATTTAATTTCATTCATTTTCTCGGCTCAGCTCAGCGCCTTCATCATCTCTAATATCTTCGTATAATAGGGCTGCAGCTCGGTGTAGATGCCGGGTTTCCCGACGGCGCCGCAGACGTCACTGCCGGTGGCCACGATGCCCACCACCTGCCACGAGCCGTCTGCTGCCGGGCACACCAGGCCGCCGCCCGAGTCGCCGCTGCACGAGTCCACGCCGCCGGCCACGAACCCGGCGCACACCATCTTCTCGGGCACGAACTGCGGCCCGTACACCTCCAGCGCGCTGCAGTAGTCGTCCGAGACGATGGGCACCTGGGCGCCGCGCAGCCGGGACGGCGTGGTCCGCGTGCCTGGCACCGTGATGCCCCAGCCGGAGATGACACAGGGGGTGCCGGACGCCGGCGGCCGGTCCTCGGGCCGAATCAGGCACGCCGGACGCACCTGAGGGAGGGGTGGGGTGTCAATGACCGACGTCAGTGCACGTGTATTTAATGGCTCTAAGCCAAGGTGAATGCTAAGGGACGGTGGTTACCAAGCAGGGATGGGATAGAGTTCTAACGGTAACGTCGGCGGAAGCCGGTTAAGCTAAGAGTCGGTAAATATAAATTAAGGTAGTGAATAACTTAGCGAGACATCATACTTGAAAACTTTGGGGCCGTACTCACTGCTCAGCAAAGGAAAACCCTCTTTGACATTTTATGCAACACCAATTTGTCTTGTACACATGATCTGGCAATTACCTATCAAATATGTCGTCACAGCTAACATCCATGTGGACAACAGTTCACACATTGTTATCACAACTGATTTGCATGACTCGCACGTTCGCGAACCCCCAGACCCATCGTTTTCCGTCGGCGACGCCCTTGGCTGTCTGACCTCGGCGGAGAAGGAGATGGCAGGCCGGTTGGAGAGGTCCAGCAGCACCACGGCCAAGTCGCCGACCTTGGTGCCGTTCGACAGGTAGTCCGGCACGTTCAGCTTCTCCCGGACGCCGAACACCCGCTCGGTGTTCTCCTTTACGCGCAAGTCGTACTCTCCGACCACCACCTGACGAAAAACAAAATAATGTGACAGCGTCCTAACCTAAGAAATAATCCATTCCATATAAAACGCTGTCACAAAATGCAGACATAAATACGATGCAATAAAGTGTCTCAGCCTCGCGTTATCGTGACATCCAAGCTAATGACCTTTATATAAGATATAAAGGAAGTGTCTTTATATAAGAAGACACTTGTAAAACGATTCAGTCCGCAGATGGCCGTCTAGGGCAAATTCATCCGCCATAAGACAAAAATAATGATAAGTACTACTATCCATGCTAATATGTGATCACCCATTTCTACCAGAGATTAGGGCACACACAATGGCCACTGGCCAGTTTCAACTACCACCTGCATCCATTCCACCCACCTCATACTCGGAGTTGGCCTTGGTCATGCAGTGAGCAGCCGTGAGCACGAACCGCTCACTGACGATGACCCCTCCGCAGTAATGCACCCAGGAGCCCAGCTTCCTGTCGAAGGTGCGGATCTGCGCCTGCCAGGGGAACTCGCCGCGCAGCGCCGACTCGCCGCCGAAGAGCCGGTCGACCAGGGCGACCTCGGTGCGCTGCGCCTGTCGGCGGCCGCAGGTGGGGTGGCGCGGCAGCAGCAGGCGCGCCGGGTCGCCGGCGGGCCGCGTCAGCTGCAGCTGCGTCCGCAGCTCCACGGTGGCCGCCGTGCTGCGGTACAGCACGAAGTCGGCGCGCCGCACCGTCGCCAGTCCGCACGCCTGGCAGCCGATGCGGCAGCGGCTGCTGTACAGCGGCCGGCCCAGAGACTTCTGGTGGTCCTGCTGAAACACCAGGCCGCGGGGTGTTAGCATTGTGGCACTGGAGCACCCTAAAGACTGAACGTATCGGGGCGCCACGAGAAGACGTGTAACGACTGAGGCATTTAGCCATGGTTGACTTTTTTCTTGAGATGTTGAGCGTGACAAATGCAATGGTCTAACTCTACCGTCTAGTGTGACAGCGAAAGGCCGTCGAGTACTTCGTTTTAAGCTTTAAAGGGTAGTTCGATGATGCTGCTCAAAATAAGTCAGGTGCTGTCTGACGGTTTACACCGACTTAGAGTGTCTATCCAGTTGACTTTCAGCAGCTATCACCTCCACCACTCCCACTGGCGCCTACCGTGACGCCGGCGAAGGGGTCGGCGTCGCCGCTGGTGTTGGAGTAGCTGAACACCTGACACTGGTGCGGGTGGAAGAAGCAGTAGGCGGCGCACGTCTCCAGACTGACGCCGTGGATCACCAGCTCCCAGGCGGTGATGTCCGTGCCGGCGATCGGCTGGTAGGAGCGCACGATGTCACCGCAGTGGCTCTCGTCCGCGCCGTCAAAGCAGTCATGCCGCTGGTCGCAGACGAAGCCGAACGGCTGGCAGCTGGTGTCCGGACAGCCGGGCAGCCGCTCGGTTAGCGGGTCGCAGTCGGCCTCGCCGCAGCGCAGACACGTGGCCCGGCGCTCGGTGCAGTGGAACAGGTCGCCGCAGCAGGTCGCCGAGAAGATGTCGTGCTCGTCGCGCGGCCACAGCTCCAGGAACAGGGAGCCGCCCTGCGTGCGCCGCAGGCTGCTGTCCCTGGGACAGGCCTGGGCGCCGGCGGCGTCTGGAACGGGGCGCGACCAGCGGCCGTCAGCTCATCAGCTGTAAGATATGACCTGGGGCAATAGGGCAATCATCGTCCGGCACTAGACGCTACCCTGTGAAGCTGTAAATTTCCCGTGCTCAGCCGAGACGCTTGTCTGTGACGTTTACCGCCCGCCAAACGAAACGTTCGTGACATATTTACCGACCGCCTCACGATATACAAAGCTGCGACGTTTACAGACCCTACCAACCCCAGACAAGACGCTATTCTGCGACATTCACTCTGCCGTCCAAAGGCAAAAACGCATATGTCGGGTCACGACCTGACCCGACATATGCGTTTTTGCCTTTGGACGGCAGCACTGTCCGCCATCTGTCCTCTAGCCTCAGCACCAGCCCAGGCTTATCTTTGATCACGTCACGATCACGATCACGTCGCCATGCCTGGGCCGGCGGTCACCCCTCCAGGCAACTGGTGGATGGTCATCTCCAGTAGCAGCATAGCCCTCTTGGTCGTTATCCCTGGATGATGAGCGAGACATTCCAGTCCCGAGAAAATGGGCTCATGATCACCATGCGACATATCAGCTGGTGGTTGACTCAACAACCCAATATGCAACAAAACACAACTTACCGTCCACTACACAGGATGCTGCTCCCTTGCCAACGACCTTACGACCTTGTTAGTGATATCGCGAATTCGCGTGACCTTTTGAGAGTAAATTGATTTGGAAGAAGAAACTCCAGGTCCAGTCCAGACTTTTGGTGCCATTTTCAGCGCTCTAGCTCCACTGGACGGGCCACAATCTGCTGTGCAAATTTGAGGCCCGTGACCTTTGTTGACATCTTATGTCAACCGTCTATAATGGTGCCGCCGAATAGTTTAGGGCACGTATTTTCAACCTTAATGATGGCTTTGCTTCATGCAAGTAGCAAACTGATCTAAGGAACTTCGAATCTGGACCAACTCTCGACTGAATATGAGCTGTTTTGACGCCTGACGGACATAATTGGAGCAGTCATCATACCGGCTGCAGCATTCGACATATCTTTTTAATTAAAAGGCCACAAAATAAATATTGCATCATATCGATCATGACGAAAACATCGAATATTTCTGCGAATGCGTGTAGGCGGACAATACCAAAGTGGAAAAGAAGGAATAGATAAATAAGAATACAGCTGACAGTGACAACCAGTAGGGAAGTACTCACTTAACCTGTTTTCCTAGATGCACACCGCCGGATAAGTCACACACTTATTACACAGCTCGTCCTCTCACATAACGCACCTCGTCCTCTTACATTACGCACCTCGTCCACTTACACTGGACCAGGCCGGCGGCGGTGCAGAACAGCGCTACCCACCGAAGGCACACGCCATCCATCCTCCACGGCACTGGCAGCGGTGGCCCACTGCGACCCGACTGCGGCGCCCCGCGCCGCTGACGTCTGCCGACGGCGCACTCTGCGCCAGAGCGACAGGTTTGTGGCCAAAAAATGATGGACGTAGTGGGTAGTGGCGGATCCAGGGACAGCAGTTGTTGGATTCGTTATAGCCTACCCAAATCGCGATCGATGAAAGTTTGTCGTTTCTTTTGCATCTCAAAAAGCAATTATATACGAAAAGCTTGCATTTGAGTTGATAGGAAGCTACTACTCACACCGAAGCCCCAGTGAGCTATTCTCAGGACAGGACTATGATTTCTTATTATGGAATATGAAGTTGGTATGTAAGGCCGCTCACACACTCCAAAGCTGCCTATCTGGATCGAACAACAGCGTTTATAGGAACGCTAAATGTATCTTGTCTTCGCCAAACGTGCATTGTCCGTTCTATCACGCGATAGGATGAAATGCCAGCTGCTATGGGAAATTCCAGATATGATCCGTCCACCGGACCACGGCGATGACGTGCTATAGGCATGACGTAGTCGCTTCGGAGAATAAAGCAGGGAAATAGTTGTAATGGGTGATTGTGGTTCTGACTCTTAACTTCGGTTAAAGCAGGTCAGGTCATGGCTATCTGGCAGCACGCCCGATATCCTCAGCAGGTATTTCACCTCTACCAGCATGGGCTCAAAAACTACTTTCCAAATAGGGGAAAGTGGGGTAAGACGGGCACCTTAACTTTGGAGCCATTTTTCGGCCGGTTAGAAACATCATAGAAACGGGAAACTGAGTGAAAACCTTTTACAGACATTTTACTTCCATTTGCCAGAAGATGAGACTTAGACCTGACTCAACAAATAAACTGCAGCTATTTTTGCAAAACCTTGCAAAAACCCATCTTACCCCACTCCATGGGGTAAGACGGTCACATGGGTAGGGCAAGACGGCCAGCTTCTTTCACCGACCAGCACAGCTCGCAGCAAATGCCCGAGATTAGCCGCATTGATACAGTCGCTCGTTGGTCTCAAGTGCTTCGGAAATGGCAGTATACGAGATTCGTGCAGAAGGCGTATACTCGTATATAGGCCCTAGTTCAGAAGCCATGTAGAGCCGTTTTTCACATTCATTATTCGAGAATAAACTGTGCCGAAGGAATATTGCTAACATGTCTGTGAGTATCGGAATCGAACATATTCTTATCAGAAATGCTTCTTTTTTCCTACAGCAACAAAAATATTTTTACCATTACAGACCCATCGGATTCATAGTTGCCTACTTCAATTCAATGAATGCCAAATTCTGAATCAGCACCGTAAGCTATCCGTAAGAATCTTGAGCTATCCTACAATATTGTAAAACGTACAAAAGCCAACCGAGGGCACCAAAGCTCGATGACCTTGACCTTGATGATCTTGGCACCAAAGCTCGATCGGCATGTCTCTCATCAAACTCATTGCCTGCATCTCAGACGTAATTTATACTTTAAACAGATCAATTATGACTGAGCTTAATCGCATGCTTTGAACATTTGAATGATAGCGCGTCTGTGTCGTAACAAGGAACAGCTCATTGGAAAATGGAGCACGGGGCAAATTAACCCTCGCATGTGTGCGGCGTTTTCCAGCTTCTAATGTGTAGGGGGGGGGGGGGGGGGGGGGTCGGTTGGACCCCCCCCTTGCCGTTTGGCCCCTGATCGAGCTAGAGCTTCGCGGAAAAAACGAGTGTGTTGCCCGTGACGAGAGGAAGCCGATGATACCCAATTTTAAGGTCCTAGGTCATTGGTTGACCTTCCAGGTCAGGTCAATGACCCAAAGTCGGGAAAATCGGGACCTATTAGAAAGTCGTAAAGTGTGGCTGCTAAGGGGTTTTTCGGGGTGCTGATCACGAATATCGTGTTAGTTTTGATCAAAGATGATGTCTTTAAGCATTTAGACCAGGTCGGGTCAGGTCAGGTCAGGTCAATCAGTAGGCGTCGTGACGGGTATTCGTAGTACGTGTCAACCGCCTCTGACAGCTTCGTAACATGTTACGAAGGCACCAAAACTACTTCGTAAATGTTCAAATGGTTGCTAAATTCGAATTCAGCTCCAAAAACTAGCCTAGAAACATGTAAAACTCGAAAAAGTGAACCGAGGTCACCCGAGGTCACCAAAGGTCAATGACCTGACTTGACCTTCAGGTGACCTTGACACCCACTTTAATGCATGGGAGCAACATCAAATCACATGTTTGAACGTTTGAAACCACGAAAAGCTTGCAAACGCGCGGCTAATGCGAGCCGACGTACGCCGAATCGCGATTCCGGCCAAACATGGTCTCGGAAAAGAGGTCACAGGTCAAAGGTCATTTGGGTCAGGGTCATGAAATTTTCAGGGTAGGTGTCAAATTGATCATTGCGAGGGTACTGAAAGTTTCGTCGCGATCGGCCGCTTTTTACGCGAGTTATTCGCGAAAAACCATGGGGGGGTTCATCCGACCCCCCCCCCCTACACATGCGAGGGTTAATCATCTCCCGTAACCCGTAGGTAATAGTTTGGACGGCAAGGCAACAGGAGTAACAAGGATATGTAAGGCGATCAAAACCATCCACAAATTTTAACCTGGCCGGGCCGGGGGGTCAACCTCAACCACCGCAGCCGGGGAGGGGGGGGGAGGGGAGGACAATATTACCCACTGTCTAACTCCGTAAAATAGGAGCTACGGAAACAAATAAGGTACCGAACGAAAGGCCTCTATGAGGCGATTCTAAAACATTAAAAAAATTTGACATCAGGTTAATTTTGAAGGCCAGAGATCAAGGTCAGAGGCAAAAACCGGGACATGTGTACCTACCTAGTGAGCTCGAACTAAGTGTTCCAAAGGGCGGCCAGATGGATGAAACAGGTTGAACTGGATGGGAAACGACAGAATAGAATCTGAGGAATCCGATGGTGTGCTTATTAAACTTTGAGGTCAAATTCAACGTCATGCTCAAAATTGACCTCAAACTTTGCACCTTTTCGTAAATCTTTTACAGTGTACCTACACTACTTTCCAAAATGTTTTGAAATATTTTGAAGGTTATCAGGCACCTAGTTGTCGTTTATGTTACGACACAAGGCTGCCCAAAGGTCAAGGTCGGGAAATAGTATCCTTGCTAGAGGCTATTTCACTGATTCATATCAGCCATAATAATTCAGCCCTTTTTGCTATCCTGACTCTCTAAATGTATGCCTAGGGCAAAATGGATGCCAGAATAGTGATCAGCGGCTACGAATACACCATATGACACCATTCATATGTCAAGGTCAATCAAAGGCCATTCCAGGTGACGTGAGGTCAATGTAAGACTTGACCTTTTCTAAACAAATTGCATGTCAATCGACGCGTCTTGACAAGACGAATGCGTTGGTACCATGGTCTTAGCTTTAGGGCCATTTTAGTTGAAGTTACTTGCGAAAAACCGAATTCTAGCTCGGAGTCGTTAACCTGCCCTCTAGCCTCAGGTCGCCAAAATAACTTTTGTATTTTTATCTAAGTCATATGCTACACAACCGTGTTCGAAATTTGTCTTTATCTCCAAAACTCTATTTTTGGCAGCTGTTTGAAGTTTACGTCTGTTACGTTGAAATTTGCCGCGCAAGGGTCCCACTGGCGGATCCAGGCTTGCGTTTTGGGGGGGGGGGCAACTCATGCGGAGCCAAACCTAGGGTACCCCCAAATCCTGTTTTCTCATCGGATTTAGGCCACTTATTTTTCGTCACAGCTCTGACACTATTAATTTTTTTTTAACTAAAAAGAAAAATATATAAATGGTAGTCCACCCGACCCATGCCTTTATATTACTTTGTGAACACTTACCATTGCTTTTGTCGACCAGTTAACCCGCTTCGAGTCAGTTCTTGGGTCCCTTTGCGGGCCAGGAGGTGGTAAAACACCCCCAGTCTAACTCGGCTCCTGGGCCACGCACTGATTGAACTATGTTTCATTATCGTTTGGGGGAGGGGCAAACGGGCCACTTTAGGCCTCTGGGAAAGGGGCATGGCCCTAAATGCCCCCTCCCTGGATCCGCCAGTGTAAGACACCATTGGAGCTGCAGTTGGGTACCTCAGACGTCAGGGTACGCCCTCAGATGTATAGGACTTGCGTGGAGACCTCTTATGCTGTAGTGGACTGAAAGGACCCAATTAAGGAGCCCGTCTAGGGCTCCCGGAGAATGGAGATAGACGTGGGCCCTCAGGAGCCCGCCAGAGCCCCCAATGAGGGATAAGTGAGGGATACCAAGTGCCTGCAATTGCATATTGCATAAGCCATAACGCCTTTACAAATCAATATATTATGTATCAGTGGCAGATACAAGGGGGGCCACATGGGTCATGACCCCCCTTGGTGCCCGGGGGCACCACCGGCCAAGCAGGGGCACCACCGGCCTAGCAGGAGCACCACCAGCCCGCCAGGGGCACCACAGGCCTAGCAAGGGCACCACGGGCCTGTGACGGGTCCCACAGGCTTGTCAGGGACACCCCAGGTCTGTCAGGGACACCAGAGACCTGCCAGGGGCACCACCGGCCTCGCAGGGGCACCATGGGCCTGTTAGGGGCACCAGAGGCCTAGCAGGGGTACCACAGGCCTTACAGGGGCACCACCGGCCTTGCAGAGGCACCAGAGGCCTAGCAGGGGCACCACAGTCCTGTCAGGGCCCAGGGGCACCAGGGGCCTAGCAGGGGCACCACAGGCCTGCCAAGGGCACCACCGGTCTAGCCTTTACAAATCAATATATTATGTATCAGTGGCAGATCCAAGGGGGGCCACATGGGTCATGACCCCCCTTGGTGCCCGGGTGGTGCCTGTCAGGGGCACCACCGGCCTAGCAGGGGCACCACCAGCCCGCCAGGGGCACCACAGGCCTAGCAAGGGCACCACGGGCCTGTGAGGGGCCCACAGGCTTGTCAGGGGCACCCCAGGTCTGTCAGGGACACCAGAGACCTGCCAGGGGCACCACCGGCCTCGCAGGGGCACCATGGTCCTGTCAGGGGCCCTGCCGGCCTCG